CCCCCCTCCCTCCCTCGGATGCGTCAGCCCTTCCTCACCGATACCGCCATGCAGGACGACCTCTTCGCCGCCGCGGGGGCCATGCCCCGGCACTGGCCGCCGGAGTATGCCACCGGACACTCGCCGGCGGCGCACATGGCCGGACACTCGCCGCACACCAGCATCTCCTGCCTGGTGGACTCCATCAGCGCCCCGGGGTCCCTGGTTACCGCCACGACCACCGGCAGCTCCATGTGCCTGGCATCTCCCTCCGGCGCGACGGGCACCATGTCGGCCAGCCACTCGCCGAACTCCTCGCTCTCATGTCTGGCCTCCAATGGCCAGGGCGGCGCCCACCACATCGGGTCCAACTCCTCGCTGTATCACCACCCCCACTCCCACCACCACCACCCCCCCCACCATCCATTGCAGGCGGCCGGCTATCAGCCGACGCACCTGGCTCCGCCGTCCAATGGCCACCACTTCGCCGGGGGCTCCTCCTTCGACGCGGCGGCCGCGGTCATGGCGGCAGCCGTCTCCGCCGCCGCCGCCGCCGCCGCCGCCAGCCGCGAGCATCTCCACCACATGAACCCCTCTTCCTCTTCACAAACCTCCTCATACATGGTCGACAGCCGGACCTCTCTGCCGGACCTGGCCAATCGTGGCCCGGGTATGTGCTTGTGCCCCGTTCGACATCCCCGCATGGCCTCCGGCCGGAGTGCCCCCATTCCCGCCGCCCTTGCCGGCCACACACCCTCCTTGCCTCCCGCGCTGACGCCCATGTGTCCCATCCCTTCCCCCGGGCGCCTCGGCCTCCCTCCCTCCCTCTCGCTCTCTCCCCGCTCTCTCCCCGCTCCTTCCCCGCTCTCTTGCCCCGCCAGAAGATCCCGCGGCGCATGGCCATCCTCGTGGCCGGTCGACCACCTTCAGTTACGGGGCGCCGAATCGCGGCCCGGGCGACTCGGATCCCGCGGCCACCGGGTCACTCCTGTCGCTTCTGTCGCAGGCGGCGGCGCCAGGTGTGGCGGACGCCCTCCCGCCGGCCGGGACAGCCACCGCCGCCGCCGCCGCCGCCGCCGCCTCCGCGCACGCCCTTGCCCAAGGGTTCTCGGCCATCCCGGAGCCTGGGCTGTCGGGCGGCAGTGCCAATGCCTCGCCGGCGTCCTCCCCGCCCCGAGACGCCCATGCCGGGCACCAAGGCCACGGCCCCCCGGGCACGCCGCATCCCCACGACCAGGAGCCCCCTCTGCCGCAGGACATCTTCATTCCGGCCTGCCAGCTGACCTCGGCCGCCGCGTCCCAGAGCATGGCCGGGGTGATCGCCGCCCTGTCGGCCCGGCATCCGCACCTGTCGACCGGCCTGCTGGAGCAGCTGGCCGCCTTCAATCCCGGTCCCTCGCTCAAGGTGGAGGGTGTTCTCGGCATGGGTGCCTACGGTGCGTGCCCTGCTTCCTGGGTCTCCTCTCGCGCACCCCTGCCACGGCGGTGCACTGACGCGCAGCTCTCCCCCCCCCCCCCCCCCCCCCCCC